ATAAATATATTCGCCAAATATATTTTAAAGTAAAAAAAATATAAATATACGTTATAAATCTACCATATTACATGTATATATCAGTAATAGGATCGGATCGGATATTCAGATTTTTATAATTAGTATCTGTGATTTACTTCGGTTTAGATGGATACTAAATTTTACTATTTGTTTCGCTTTGATTGAAAACAGATATCCGAATTTTTCGGATCGGATCGAAACGAATATTGAATCGCATCGAATTTAACAGATAATTTGCCCGGCTCTAGACGATACATGTTATCACTATTGAGGAAGTACATTTAGTCAAGTAATAAAAAATTCAAATTTGTGATTTGTCTGCTTAGAGTTTGAGAAAATAATCCAACAAAATTCGCTGAAAAAAAACGTACGTAGTATCACCATTCATTCTGAAAATAATTTCACAGTGGAAAAAATATTAATTATGCTACTAAACTAGGAACATATAGCTAGTTAACCATATCGAACATAATTTAGCAAAATAAAAAACCATATCAAACATAACAATTACGATTACATATATGATTTTTTTCAAAAAAAAAAACATAATAATTTCACTGAATTGTTCTAAATTTATATACATGTTGACAAAGAAAAAAACAAAATGATTAAGAATATATATATTTTATTACATAATTAACCAAGTGAAAAAGATGTGATCATAAGAAAGAAGTATCTTTCTTTCTTTAAAATTCCCATCTCTCTCATTTCAGTTAGTTGGATCTCTTAAAAAAAATATATATACTAACTGATTATTTTTTGTATATGTACTTTAGTTTGTTATAAAGAACAAGAACTATTCAAATTATATACAGTATATGATTTTGTATAAAATATATACAATAGAATGATATTTTATATAATAGAATAAGGAAAATGACGTATACTAGTAATAATAGACTAATAGTAAATATCTGATAATAACCACTCGCAAGCCTCCAAAAGACCTACACATACACAAGCGAAAATCCCCACTCAAAACAAGAAAACAGAGACAGAGAGCAAATCTCCGACGGCTTGTTCATGGACTCGTCTCAAAACGACGGCGTTTACGAACCTCTTCTCCAGCCTCACGGTGATGGAACGCTACCGTCTCCGTGGACGGAAGCTAGCAAAGGCGAGCTAGAAAGAGTGCTTTCCGACGTCGAAACTCCCCTCTTTCTCCGCCTTCGTAAGGCTACTATGATCGAGTCGAAACTTCTCTTCAAGCTCGCTGCGCCTGCGGTTGTCGTCTACATGATAAACTACTTCATGTCCATGTCCACTCAAATCTTCTCCGGTCATCTCGGAAACCTAGAACTTGCCGCTGCTTCTCTTGGAAACACCGGAATCCAAGTATTCGCCTACGGTCTCATGGTACGTTACAAAACCGAAATGATCTATTTGATTCTAATTTCCGATTTGAAGACTTTGTTTTGAAATTTGGAATCCATAGTTAGGAATGGGGAGTGCGGTAGAGACACTATGTGGACAAGCGTACGGAGGAGGAAAATACGAGATGCTCGGTATTTATCTCCAAAGATCCACCGTGTTGCTCACTCTCACCGGCGTTCTACTCACCGTAATCTACGTTTTCTCCGAACCGATCTTGCTTTTCCTTGGAGAATCGCTGGAGATAGCTTCCGCGGCGTCTCTTTTCGTCTACGGTCTAATCCCTCAAATCTTCGCCTACGCGACGAATTTCCCAATCCAGAAGTTCCTTCAATCGCAAAGCATCGTGGCTCCGAGCGCTTACATTGCAACAGCTACACTCTTTGTCCACCTTCTCTTAAGCTGGCTTGCTGTTTATAAGCTTGGAATGGGACTTCTCGGAGCGTCGCTAGTGCTCAGCCTCTCGTGGTGGATTATAGTTGTGGCTCAATTCGTTTACATCGTGACCAGTGATCGGTGTCGTGAGACGTGGAGAGGATTTAGTGTACAGGCTTTCTCGGGTTTACCTAGTTTCTTTAAACTCTCCGCCGCTTCCGCCGTGATGCTCTGCCTTGAGACTTGGTATTTTCAGATCTTGGTTCTCCTCGCCGGACTTCTCGAGAATCCGGAACTTGCTCTTGATTCCCTCTCAATTTGGTAAGTTATTACTTCCTTCAATTAAATTTTGACTCGTTAAATTTGGTTTACAAGAAAAGAAAAATTATAAGAGAGTAAAACTAATTGTCCTTCTTTTTCCGTTCTCACTGTGAAATTTGTTAAGAACCACTCTGTTGCTTCTTTCCTAGCGATATCAATGATATCCTCCTATAACAAATTGACAATAATATTATTAATGTTTTTTTAATCTTCAATATCTATAGTTATTTTTGGATTTAATTATGAAGTTTTTTTTTTTTTATAATTGAGGGTTTCCGAGTTTTTATATCTGACTAATCCTCCAAGATGAGTGTATATAGCCGTTGAGTAATCCACTCACGGAGTTTCTAATGGGCCTAAAACATGACACCATTTCGACTGGTGAAATGAAAATGAAAA